TTAGGGTGTCATGGGTGTCCCATGCTGTTGGCCACGGGGCAAGAGCTGTGTCTCCAATGGAGGTCAACCCTCCCCATGACGCTACTGCACTACTGACTGCAGGGCAGAGCCAGCCGTGTTTCTTCGTCTTGTTGGGTGTTGAGTGAGCAAAGAGGGGTCTGGCTCACAAACATTGCTGCAGGGGCTTCATGAGCCTCGTGCCACCCACCCTGTCCCTAGTGGGGCCGGTCCAGCGTGGTCAGGGAACAAGGAGAGGCAGCCAAGGCTGGGGCTGCCATGGAGGGGGACGAAGACCCCTTGATATACCTGTGGTAGGCATTGAAGCCTCCACCAGACTGGAGATGGAACAGCCCAAAATCCATCCATCCATCCCGCCACAATCTCCTCCACCAATGGATCCATGACTTCTCCAGCAGCTTTGGGGCCTAGTGTTGGGTTTCCAGCTCTCCTTTCCAGGCATACAGAATTCAATGTTTTGTGCTAAAAATCTCAAATCAGCCCTCACGAGGGCTTTGCACAAGTGTTAAAGGGATGTTGGGCTGGAGCCTTGTGCATGGCCTCAGATCCAACATACCTAGACACCTCACCTGGATGGATTTTCTTACACTTTTGATACAATAAGGGGGTAAAATTCCCCTTTTCCCTGGAATCAGCCATAACTCCTCCATCTGTCCCCTGAAAGGTGGGCTCAGCGCCAATCCCATCTCAAACCTTTCCCCAGGTGAGTGTTGTGCCGCTTCCTTACAGCTTTGATTGATCCCTTTGAGCAGCTCCTTTTGGATGCTGAATGCCCTCCCCTCTCCTGGCAGCTCCAGAACCACCCTGGATGTGGCTGGAAGAGGGATCACCCTTCCTGGAGACCCAATCCCAGTGAAGGTAACAATGGAATTTGCTCTTCCCCACTCCCTGTCATCACTGGGCATGTGGATCCCAGGCTCCCAAATCCAATGTGAGGATAGAAGAGTCTGCATTCAATCTGGCCCATTCTTTTTGGGGCCAAAAGTGACTTAAATGTGGGGGTTTTTCTGATTTTTTTTGGGTTCTGCCAGATTTCCATCCCACATTCCATGGTCTTGCCCTCCAAATATGTCCAAAGTTACACCTGCAGGCTGGTGGCTTTTCTGAGGCACCAGTGGGGGCTTTGCAGCTCTCAGTCCCCTCCTAAAGCCAAGCCTAAGCTTCAGGTTGGCCCTTTTTGTGCTGAGTTCAGTGACACGGATTGTATTTTTAATCTTTTGGTTCATTTCCCCCCCTTTTGTCACAGCAAATCGAAAACGGGAGATAAATCCTGGCTCAAGAGAAAAGCAGGATCTTCCAGATGTCAAGGGGTTCCTCCTCTTCTCCTTTCCCCAGGTAAAGCTACCCTGAGCTGTTTTCAAGGGGTTTGGGACAAGCCCCAGGCTGAATCCATGCTTGAGCATTGGCATCTCTTACCATCCCATTATTTCTCCTCCCCAAACCCCACTTTAACCCACTTTTAATGGCTCTTTCCTTAATTCCAGGGTGACAGCTAAGAATAGCTGCTGTTTCCGGGGAGCTATGGATGAATTATAGATCAAACCTGGCTGGGAGCCAATTTCAGTGTCCTGAGACGCATCCAAACCATGTGAAAAGTGTTTTGTAACAAGCAATAAAGAATTTATTCTTACTTTAACGCCTGAACGATGTGTTTGTTCCAGCATGTCCTGCTCCCATGAGGAAATGGGATGGAAATGGGAAAAATGCTGGTCTCCTGAGGATGACTTACTGTGGGATTTCCTCAGGAATCTTGGATCTCGGCCTGGGGACAGCGAGGGGACACCAAGGCCTGGCTCAAAATGACTCTTTCCTATTGCAGTTGCCGGCGGCAGACACAGGCGAGTGACAAGGACATGGCTCAGATCGGCCCCAAGAGAATCAGGTACCTGGGAAAGGGGAGGGAAGGGGCTAGGGAAGCTTCCAGGCATTCCCAGGAAGAGCAGGAGGAGGAGCTCAGCTCTTCCGTGAGGGACGGGCAGAAAGCTATGAAAGGGTTTCTTTGCTTCATTTTAGATTTTCTTGGGGGGAAGAAGTGAAGGTGGGTGAGGAGGAAAGAGCTGGGGGCAGATCCACATTCCAGAGCTTTTCTAACCCTCCTCCTCCTTCCTGCCAATGATTTTTCCCATGTTTTCTCTGTCAGGAAGGCAGCAAAGCGTGAGATCCTCCTGTGCGACTTTGAAGGCTGTGGCAAAATCTTCTCCAACCGCCAATACCTGAACGTGAGCACCTGGAGGGACCAGCACTTCCTGGAGCACTGGGGAGCCTGGGTGCGGTGTCCTGGAGCTGGAATTGGGAGCTGATAGGTTTTTTCCCCTGGCAGCACCACCAGAAGTACCAGCATGTGCACCAGAAAACCTTCACCTGCTCTGAGCCCACCTGTGGGAAATCCTTCAACTTTAAAAAGCATCTGAAGGAGCACGAGAAGCTGCACAGTGGTGAGTGGGGCATTTCCACGGGAATGACACCTCCTCCCCGATGGGTTACATCTCCCTGGACATCCTCCTGTAGGAGTTACAACTCTCCTTTATGGATTGTGGCTCCTTTCATAGGGATCACACCTCCTTTCATAGGGATTACACCTCCCTTATGGATCGCACTTCCTGTATGGATTCCACCTGCTCCCTTCAAATTCACACCTCCTTCGTACCCCCTTCCCCACTGGGCCACAGCCACCCATTCCCAAATTCCCATCCCTGGGAGCCATCACTGTTGCCCTTTGGTCCCCAGATCTCTCCTTTATCATCTCCATTCCCATGCTGGGAAGTCTCCCTGCTCCCAAAGCATGTGCCGAGGGCCCTGATGGTTTTTCTAGGCTGGATCAGCCTGATTCCCTTTTCTTTTCCTCCCAGACAAGCGGGATTACATCTGTGAGTTCTGTGCACGCTCCTTCCGCACCAGCAGCAATTTGATCATCCACCGACGGATCCACACTGGGGAAAAGCCACTCCAGTAAGTCCCAGTCCCATTTCTGACTTGCCAGTAAGTCATAGTCCCACCCCCGCCCTTCCAGTAAATCCCAGTCCCATCCCTGCAGCTCTGCTCAGCCTCTTCCCACCCTTTTCAACCCAAAATCAGCTCCTCAGCACATGGCCAAAAGTCGGGCTGCGATTTCTCCCGAGGTTTCTGCCCTTGGAGCTGGCTGTGCTCAGATCCAGCAGCTCCAGGGCAGTGTTTAAAGTAGGCGCAGGTTAATGAGCTGGGACAGAACGACGGACTCCTGTCCAACACATTCGTGCCAGGAGGGCGCTGGAGCTTACAACCCACTGCAGAGTCCAGCCCCGAGCAGGGCAGGGCCGGTTCTCCCTGTGCCTCATCCCTGAGGTTTTTTACTCCTGCCGGGATCTCCCCCAGGTGTGAGATCTGCGGCTTCACCTGCCGCCAAAAAGCCTCCCTGAACTGGCACATGAGGAAACATGACGCTGACTCCTTCTACCAATTCCCATGCGATGTCTGCGGGAAGAGGTTCGAAAAGCGGGACAATGTCACCGCCCACAAGAGCAAGAGCCACCCCAGGGGGCTTGGGGGACCCCCCCAGCCCGAGGGAATCCAGCAGCATCCGGAGCCCCCTGGGTCGATGGAACCTCTGGAGCTGCTTGGGAACGTCCTGGGGAGTGGGAGGGATACAGGGAGGACCCCACAGGAGTACGGCGGGGGGGATGTTGGGCAGGATCCAGGCATGCCCCAAGGTGAGGGGATGGGTGAGAGGGGGTCCTAGTGGGCTCATCCCCCAGTTTGGGGACTGGAGCAGAACTGGGGATGATGCTGGACCCTGCAGCGGCTCCAGGTGCCAAAAATACATGGGCAAGGCAAAACTGGGGAAAATCCCAGGTTTTCAGCCAAATCCCAGATGAACCCCCAAAGTTTTCAGCCAAACTGCTGGAGCAAATCCTAGTTTTTCTGCCAAATCCCAGCTTCCCCTGACCCCAGCAGTATTGCCACAGGTGGATCCTCAATAAAGACTTATTTTGGGTAAAAGTGGGATCTGGTGTCAGATTTTTATGGAAAAGGTATAGAAAAGTGAGACGGCACAGGAAAAGAGGTTTGAGAGGGGGTGGAAACACCACACACCCAGGAACTGGGGACCCAAACTGGGATGAGAGGGAGTGCCCAGTGGGGCTGTGCTCCAAAACTGGGAGCTCCCAGTGCTTCAGACTTTTCCTTTAAACTTTATTTAATTTTCATTTAAAACTCAGATTTAAACCAGAATTTGAACTTACAGATACTTGGAAGCTCTAAGTTGGGACCATTCAGTGAATTGCAAGTGCCCCCAAAACCCCAGCATGTCTGTCTCCATTCCCTCCTGTGCAGGAGCAGTTTTTCCTCCTCCCCCAGCACCAAAAACCCCAAATTATCGGGTTTTAGGGTTTTTTTGCACAGCAACTTTTATTTCCCCACTAACAGTGACAGGGCAAAGGACACGAACAGCAGCAGGGGGGAGGGCACAAGGGGAGCGGGCAAGCGCAAGATCACACCTAGAACAGAGACCCACCCTCCCCCAGGCCCCCAAAACCCCCCAGCCCGGGTTTGGGGTGATCCCAAATATCCACATCCCCTTGCTGGGATCCCAGGGCTCCAGGGGCTCAGAATTTAGGGGAACAAAATGCAGGGGGAAGTGGGGGGGATGAGGAGGCAAAGAGGGAGATGTGGAGTTGATGGGGAGGCAATGGGGGGACGGGGGGCTAGGAGGGAAATGGGAGGTGATGGGGGTACGAGGAGAGGGAAATGGGGGGCAATAGGGAATATAGGTGGGGTCACTCAGTGACAGTAGGACAGGCTCTGCCCTTTCCCCAGGGGGAGGGAAGGAGATGGGATGGGATGACTTGGAAACCAATGGTGTCCAAATTGGGGGGGGGGGGGGGGGGGGGAAGAACCCCC